ATGACCTGAGCCGAAGGCAGCGGCTTAACCCACTGAGCCACCCAGGCGCCCCGCTAGCCTGTATTTTTAAGTTTTTATTTAAATTCCAGTTAGTTAACATACAGTATAATATTAGTTTCATGTGTACAATTTAGTGATTCAACACTTAACTATGGTCCCTGTTAAAGTATCTTAACCCATGTGCTCTCTTTTGTTACAGATGAACAGGAGGCATTGAACTCAATCATGAAGGATCTGGTGGCCCTCCAGATGAGCCGACGTCCCCGGGTGCCTGGATATGAGACCATGAAGAACAAAGACACAGGTCACCCAAATAGGCAGGTGTGTGTGTGGCCATGGCAAACCCAACTAAATTGCTGGGGAGGGGTTTTCAAATGGGAAATATTTGAGAAGCCAAGGATACTCTACTACTAGGCTTGAATGCTATTGGCCTCTTTCTTTCACAGTCTGTTAAATAGTGATATAACCCAGTCAGGTGTGGGTCATGATCTGGAGTCCCAAAGCCTTGTGTATCTGACCTTGTGCCTACTGTTTAACTGTAGAGAATAAGAGTAATTCCTTCATTTGTAGAGACAGGATTCATATAACTGTTCCTTTACTGATAATTTGGCAAATGTTTAATCCAGATTCATAATCTCTAACTCAGAAGGTTTTTAACTACCTTACAGTATATGCTTAGGAAAAATTAATTAATTTTAGTATTAGCTTATCTAAAATATAATTAAGAAGGAAAATTTATTTAATAAAATGTCATACAATATATTCTAAAGGAAACAATAATATCTATTGTTTTTCAGTTGTTTCCCCTCATAGTAACTCAGGTAGTTGAGGGTGCCTGTTTTATTGACAGTTGTGTGCTTCTTTAGGAAAACAGTTCCTATTTTTATTAACATTTAAGCTCGTGCACTGTTGAGAACCACCTTCTGGCCTCCAGTGTCATTTACAAACTCCCTGATTCCTGGGTTCTTTGGCCTGCAGAGAGGAGTGAATGATGGAGAGCTTTCCTCCCTAATGGGTATCTAGTGCTGTATCATATGGCTATGTTTGGTGTGTTTGATGAAAATTTGTCCTTGCCATTTTTCCTTGTGTGTCTCTTCATTATCAGCTAACCTCTTTCCTGATTTGCACCTTATTTACCAATTGTTCCGAAGAATCCTTGGTTCCTAGAGAAAAAGTAAGGCCCTAAAACTTTTACTGTCTAAGGTCTGCTAGATATAGCCTCTCAGAGTATTTCCTGCCTTTAGGAAAACTAGGGATCCTGAGTCCTTTTGTTTCATGATATAACAGAAGGATTAGCTTAGAAAGCTGCTTTCATTTTTATGGCTACCTTACAGAACTGGGGGAACAACAGAATAGGGCCCATTCTTATACTATTTTCATACATTATTCTGTCTAATTGTGTGGGTTCTGCCTTGTGGTAACTCTCTTCTATTCAAAGCTGCTTTTGGAAGGAGCATTTTACCAGAAGTGAGTCCCCTCCCCCAGGCTTGAGCCTAATGACCTCACTTTCCTTCCTGTCTTCCTATGGTGGAGTGTGCTGCTCCAGTCAGCTGATCTTTCTCCAAATGGGGCTATTAGCGTGGATATCAGTTAGGTGAAAAGGGGAAGCTTTCTTCAGTTGGAAGACCCAAAGGAACCAGGCTGGGAAGAGGAGGGTAGCATGGTGGTCCCTGATCCATTCCTTGAAGGGAGATTACCTTTTAGAGATCCTTTTGATTAAAACCTAAAAGCTATTGTAAGAAAAGTCTTGATCTTGTCCTGTGCCTGCTGCTGTGTTATTACAGTCAAGTCCGTGGTTATGAAGGGAGAAGGCTGTAAAAAAGGATTGCCTGTTGGTTAAGAAGTAATCTTAAGAGGTAGTGGGTCTGAATACCTACAATTTACTTGAATATCATCAATTTTTTTCTGTTGCATGGAGGATACAAATTATTAACCTCAGTCTGTTTGTTTTTAAAGAAAAAACACAACAGCGGCAGCTCAGCCCTTCTGAAGAGCCCCACACTAAAAACAAGCTCATGTGCAGGGGCCGGTGAGGAAAAGAAATTTTTGGTAAGGAACCAAATTACTCATAAAGCTAAAATGTGCTTTCAGATCTGATCCAAATACAGGAAAAGTGTGGAGTTCATTTCCTAGGCAAGTCATTTTCGTGGATTTGTAGGGAGTACTGGTTACTCATTACCTGTGGTCTGTGCTTTTAGTCACCATGTCACAGAACAGTATTGTTCATAAGCAGCGTCTGTCAGTGCTGTCCAGTATACTCTGTGTGATGATAGAAGGGTTCTGTATCTGTGCTGTCCAGTGTAGTAGCCACTAGCCACACGTAGCTATTGAGCCACTGAAGCAGTGAATTTTAGATTTTATTTAATTTTAATTAATTTTAATTTAAATAGGCATATGTGGCTAGTGGCTACTGGCTTGGACAGCACAACTTTATATATTATATAAGGGACTCTTGGCTTGCTGGGCAAGAAAATAAGTGCACGCTTGAGGTGTTTAGCAATTCATTGGGATGTTTATTCCTCCACACCCATCACGTGTTTCTACACATTGTGATAAGCTCATCATTGGGAAGCCTAGCTAAGATTCTATTCCAGGAGGCAGGGGGGTCTGGGGGAAACATGGAGCTGTGGAACTAGTATGGCTGTTTAGAAATGGAAGCTCAAAGTTTATGCTAATATTGGGTAAAAGGCAATGACAATGTCAAGATCACTTTTTCCCTTAATAAAGTCAAGGTTGTAGAATGGTGTCTCCTGGGAACTGTAGCAGATGTTCAGCTTCTGACCAGGACGGGTATTCTTCAGCAAAATCCAAAAGTGGAAACTTGGGAAAAAAGTCTCAGTGAATACATTTCTAGGAAGGAGGGGGTGAAATGGGGGTAGGGGGAACCTTGGAGGGAGATGTGTTTACAGCTTAGTGTAATGAAAAGAACCTGGCCTAAGAGTCTGGTGATGTTAATAATCTGTTAACCTAGGACTTGACATTTTATAGACCTAATCCGTATTTATTAATATTATTGTTTTTGTTTGTTTGGGCTTAGGATAGGATTAAACCATTTTCTCCATTACCAGTTCTTCTGCCAGGAGGTCTATACTTGGGAGAGAGGAATGAAAGATTAAAACCTAATTTAAATGGCTAAGAGATGCCAAATTAGCTAGGAGATGTTAAATAGGACTAAAGATTCAAATTGCAGAGTTCCAGCTGAAAATAACTAAGTATTTTGGCCAGCAGGAAAAGTTGTCTATTCAGGCAGGTGATGGCGCCAGCACAGGCAAAGAGTGCTTACTTCAGCGTGAGAAGGGCAGTGTTGGCTGCAGGGCAGAGCTGAGATTGGCATTGCCTCATGGAGCTCAAGCTGGACACAGGAAAGGAAAGCCAGAAGAGCTGTGGGTTCATTGACAGAAATATTGGGGGTGGGGGGCTGAGGCCTGGAAGAACTGGAAAAACCTAACCTAATATCTCTGCTTGGTAGGACTTCAGACATCCTCTTCCCTAAGTGAATAAAATAGGTAACTAATTGAAGAAGAGAAAGCATTTGGCAACAACTAAGCATTCTGAGCAGCTATGGAAGTACATGGGCAGTGTGGTGCTTAGCTATGAACTGTTTGCTAGGAGGCAGGATCTGTGCTCTCTTCTTCCTCCTGTACATTAGATCCCTGGAAGCCTACAGCCTGATTAGAGCTGGCTGAACATTCTTAAATGTGTGGCCCATCCCAGGTGGCCTGGGCCACGTGGACAGTTTTGCAGACCTCGATGAGCAGCATCCCTTTCCTGGTCTTAACTCAGTGCTGTATCAGCAGGTGCAATGTCTCTGTGAAGCTGACAGCTTAATAGAGTGAAAAGAGCACTGGCTTGGAAGTCATTGTTACTGATCCATTAACCTAGGATTTTACAGTGTACATAGTGCTTTCAACAACAGTTAACAATAATAACAACAACCATAGTACGTGTATAATACTTTAGAGTTTGCAAAGTGCTTACACAAAGGTATTGAGTAGAGCTAGGACGCAAACTCAGGAGTCATATCTTCTGACTCCTGGTCACAGTAATTTTACTGTGTCTAAGTCTAATAATCTTTCTAAACCTCAGTTTTTCCATCGAATATATAGACATAATAATACCCACTGTGTCTACCTCTTAAAAGTTGTTGTAAGATTGTAGAATGTAAAGCATCTTGTGCATTATGAAACAAATGTACAGATGTAAAGTGGTAGTGATTACATCACTTCTGTTCTGGCATTGCAGTATGAGCTCTGACGGAAGCTTCTAATCAGAACTCTGCATACTGTCATGGAACTCTGAAAGGGTTAAGGTTTTTTGCCCTTATTGGATTGTTACCAGATAGTCCTTTGCAAACCTCTGAGGCTAGCCTAACTTCTAAAAATCCCAGTAGGGGAAGAAATAGATACTCTATTTATTAAAGATTTTATTTATTTATTTGAGAGAGAGAGGGAGAGCGTGAGCGGGTAGGAGGGGCAAAGGGGAGAGGGAGAACCAGATTGCCTGCTGAGCAGGGAGCCCACCCCAGAACTCAATCCCTGGACCCCGGGATCATGGCCTGAGCCGAAGACAGATGCTTAACCAACTGAGCCATCCCACTGCCCGAAATAGAATCTTTAATTCCAGTTTTTCTCAAATCTTACCAAACTGGTAAGGCTTGAACAGAACTCAGGGTCTGCTGGGTCTGACCTTGCAGATGTTCACTAGTAGGAGCTTCAGAATGGAAAAATTGCTTTCTCACTGCGGGCACGAGCAGGGCAGAACTCTTGGCTCTCAGTTCTAAAGGAGGAGAATTCTAGGGGCTGTTCTTCCAGCAAGGTCAGTGATTGAGCAGATGGTCTTTGCTTTTACTGTGATAGACCTGGCTCTTCAGGACTTCCTTTCTCTTTCAAAGGTTGTTGATAAGATAGTCTGGCTAGTTTGGAAATAAAACATAAAGCAATATATAGGTCTGACATTTTTTTTTTTTTAAGATTTTATTTTATTTATTTGTCAGAGAGAGAGAGGGAGAGAGAGCGAGCACAGGCAGACAGAATGGCAGGCAGAGGCAGAGGGAGAAGCAGGCTCCCTGACGAGAAAGGAGCCCGATGTGGGACTCGATCCCAGGACGCCGGGATCATGACCTGAGCCGAAGGCAGCTGCTTAACCAACTGAGCCACCCAGGCGTCCCAGGTCTGACATTTTATAAGAAGATTGCTTTACATATATTTTATATACATATATGTATGTTTACATTTATTTATGTGTTTATATAATGTTTTTTGTATTATTTATATATGTTTATAAAATATAAATTTATTTATTTATATGTGGTGATTTATTAGGCAGCCACAGATAAGTAATAAGCCATTTAATCACTGATTCATTCAGACACTCACTGAACTGCTCCTGCATGCCAGATAAAATGCAAGGACTGAGGATATAGAAAGAACCAGGGCAGAGAAGGGTGCCTTATAATCGTCTCTTCCATTGATCTCTTAGGACTTTCCAGAGTCAAACAAAATTATTTTTGTTGTCCTTTTTTTTTTCTTCTCATTTATTTACTATCTTTGGCAAAATAAGGACTCCAGTACCAAAGATGGGGGAGCCATCAATGATACCTAGCAAATACAGGGAAAAGAGGTCTCCAGCATCAGAGAGGGCACTCAGAACAATGGCTAACTGAGGACTTTGTCAATTCAAATTGTTTCACAAGCCTTGTTTAATAAATTCTGATTTTTACTGGGATTCCTGGGAGCTCTCTTGTGTTGCATGTTCAGTTTTTGAGTTTAGATTAGAGAAGGTTATTTCTACGTAACTTTGGTATCATTAGGACGCCTGCGTGGCTCAGTCGGGTGGGCGCCTGCCTTCAGCTCAGGCCATGATCCCAGGTTTCTGGGATCGAGTCCCACGTCGGGCTCCTCGCTTGGCAGGGAGCCTGCCTCTCCCTCTGCCTGCCACTCCCCATGCTGGTACTCTCCCGCTCTCTCTGACAAATACATAAATAAAATCTTTAAAAAAAAAAGTTTGGTATCGTTGTTGGTTACTCCTGTCGTGCCTGCTAAGTTGCCAAATCTGTAGTTCAACCTTCACTATCCTCCTGGCCGTGGCCCTCACTGTTACTGGATTGGCTATGGTGGGCAGGGAACTTGAACTTGCCTAGATCTGAATTTTTGTACTGGAATTCTTTTTCTTAGCAAGACGGCCCCTCTCCTTCAGTTCAATATGTGCCTATAGTCCAGCCTTAGACATACAATGAAATATGTTCCCTGTACTCTGAGAATCATGCAGTCTTATTGGGAAATGAGAAATACATGAAAAAAAGAAACTGAGGTGGGGCTCCTGGATGCTGCAGTCGGTTAAGATTGGCTGCGGTCTCAGGGTCATGAGATCGAGCCCTGCATTGGGCTCCGTGCTCAGTGGGGAGTCTGCTTGGGATTCTCTTTCTCCCTCTGCTCCCCCACCCTGTGCTCGCTCTCTCTCTCTCTCTCTCTCTCTCAAATAAATAAATAAATAAAAATTTTAAAAGAAACTGTGGTGGGATGCAACTGTGCCTAAATGTATGGTACAGACAGTGAGTGCTGTAGAAGACCAGGAAAGTGAAAGGTGAACTTGAGCCAAAGGAGTTACAGATTCATTTCTGGAGGAGGTAGCACTTGAACTGTGAAGATGTGTGAACGTTTAGTTAGGTGGCAGGGAGGAAGGGTGGCACTCCAAATCGGGAAGCTGGTTAAAGGCCTAGGGGAAAGAATGAACATGGCTTATTTCAGGATGATTGGGCTGCAGAGAGCATTCCTGCTGAGAACAGCGTGAGATGTCTAGGTAAACTGAGTAAGAGTAAATTTGAAGGGCTTTGAATGACAGCTGAGAATTTAGACTTTATTCCATAGGCCAGGAGTGTCACTAATTGCTTTTTGAACAAGGAAGGGATGTGTCGAAAGCCATGATTAAAATGTTCAGCACTACAGAGGAATGTAGAATGTGTTGGAAAAGGGAGCTGAGAAGTACAGAGGCTCCCTTAGGAATCCAGGGGTGAGGGGAAAGGGGCTCAGTGAGAGAAAGGACAGAGAGAA